TATCCAGGCCTGAGAATTATATCTAGAAAGTGATGTAATTTTAATGTTACTACATACTGTATTTTTGTATTGCATTACTGGAGGAGTCTCCATTTAAAATATAGACCAGATGAATTTGCTAAATCTACTCTGCATCTCAGGCTAAAGTAATTTTCATGCATGCATTCTCACAGTGGGCAGTAATTGTTAGTAATTTTACTTTTCACCTGTTTTATTTTGCTAAGGTTGCTAAGCATCAACGGGGCATTGATATTCTGAAATCATTTCCCTGTCAAAAAGAATACTTATGTGGACAGTTCCTTTATATATCAAATTTTAAATTATTATACAGAAGTTTAATAAATTTACAGTATCAAAAACAAACTGGTTAGACATGTATAGTCAACTTTTCAATTTCTTTTGTCTTGTGCTTATATTCCTGCAGACTTGGGGAAAGAAGTTCATCATTAGTTGCATCTGGGTGTTTCTCATATTCAGGTTTAGATCTGGAGTTCCTATTGATAGTTGCCTCTTCATTATATGGGGAAGCATTCCAAGAAGTAATTGCTTTTCAGTTGTGAAGGCATGCATGCAATAAATAGCAACTTTTAATTTGTTAATTTTGAGTGCTATTTGACAATTTTCTTCAATAAAGATTCCCCTCTGTGTCAAGCTCTGTAGCAACCTGTGACCTAATGGGTTAAAAAGAAGCTCAATATATGTCCTGCCAGATGACTTGAAGAGATAATGGGGTTCTGATTATTTTAGATGTTCTTGAAGGGTGTTTCCATCCAGAAGGTTAGTACAAATTACAAGTTAATTTTGCCTATTGGTGTTCTATTGGAAAGTCCAAGAAATTTTGGGATGACCCTTGTGTGTCAGAATGCCCTTGGCCTGGCATTAAGAAGAAAGACAGTTGGAGCTTAGTGTAACTTGATCGCATGGGTCACCATGTGGACCTAATTAGTTTTCACTACATATGAAGCTAATTGTAGTTTTGTCCTGTGAACATCAATGAATAATTTTTTGCTTATTTGTTTGTAATGACTGACTGTTTTCTTCATTTTTTAAATATAGAAGAGACTGCTGAGTGCACTTGGAGGAAGAAGTCCTCGAGAAATCACTGGAAGACTCCTTCAAGGCTTGATGGCAGATGACCTTGCAGTACAGTTCAATTTTGAGGGAAGGGGAAGTAAACATGCATTTCGGGATCTCTGCACATTTGAAGTCCTCATTGGTATGATTCTGTGGACATTTTTCTATAGGCATGGTTTATTATGTCTATTTCCAGTGAATGGGTATGCTTTTTCTTTTTTAGTGTTTGCATTGTACTTTGATGGAAATTGCTAAATCAATAAATCATAAGATATCAGATGCTGTTGGGCTGCATTTCAAACTTTTTCATCTGCTAACCTTGATATGGGACTCTTTCTTTGCCTACAAGACATTCAATTTTTAGAGCACAGGTAGCCAAGTTTCTGTACTGTGAGAAATGTATTTAGGAATTACTTGAAGCTGCTTATGGAATGCATTTTTTTTTGTTTGCACCAAGGAACCAATTCCAAAAGTGTCCAGTTAGTGATTGCTCAGATTTATTATTGTTGCAAGGAAAAAAAGCTGGAAAATGTATTTTTCAACTGCTTCATTGTGAAAAATTAAATAATGACATGTAATGCGTTTCTGTCCCTTAGTACCCTTTCATGCATTTCTTCACCCCTGGCTTACAGAAAAATACAGCAAATTTGCAGCTTTTTGAAACTCATCCAATGAACACTGTCCACTTCTTTTAATATCAGCAGTATAATTTTAGGAAATCTTTTTGTTTTATGTGAAGGAGTTTCCATCTTTCAACAGATGATGGAATGAAACAGGAGTCACAAAGGCAGAGATGGAGAGGGCAATCAAATCGTGGCTCCGACATGCACCCAAAAGGGCTTCACATGCAGGACAGAAAGTGTGATTTTGGTTATCAGTAATTGAATTAAACTGACCTCTCTAAAATGTAACACAGCTATCTGATCTGATTGCATTGACTTTTTCTTTGGCTAAATTTTCCCTGTTTGAATGAATTTTCATTGGAAACTGGCCTAGTGTTCATGTGCCTTTCCTTCCGTTCCTTATTTACTTGTCAACCTCAGAGTTGAGTCTTGTCTTAATGTAATAAAATATCTGTATTCGTGTTTGATTTGCCTCCTTTGGCCTTTTTCACAGTGGCAGCTCATGATATTCAGCATTAGAGGATTGCCAAAATGGAAATAAGGTAGGCCCAGGCCTCCCCTTCCTCCATTGATGATCCACTACTGCTGTATATCACGAGCTGTCCATACTTGTTCATTTCCTTCAACATAATTTATTGGTGCAGAATTTGAACTTTCATTTGTGCCTACCATTTCCATGCAATTCTTGGAGTGAATTATTTCATGATTCCTTTGAGTGTTGTTTTTTCTGCCCATAAATTGCCATTGGTTCATTCTATGAACATTTTTTATTATAACGGACCATTTATGATCACCTGGACATTCTGTAGACATCCATGGGATGCAACTAGTCCCATGACTACTTGCCATGGGACATCCTCCATAAATTGTCATTGGTTCATTCTATGAACATTTTTTATTATAACGGACCATTTATGATCACCTGGACATTCTGTAGACATCCATGGGATGCAACTAGTCCCATGACTACTTGCCATGGGACATCCCAGGGATGTCATCCAGCCATTCTGTTTTGACATCCACAGGATGTCATTTAGGGACATCCATGGGATATCTTTTTTTGCATGGGATGTTCTGTTGCTCGTTGGGCTGAAGATGTTTTCCAAGATATCCCCTCCAGGATATCCAGAAGCATTCAACTAAGAATGTCTAAAAGACATCCCTTATGAGTTGTCTGAAACTTTCAGAAAGATGATGTCTTCAGGACATCCTACAAAGACGTGAATTTAACAAGAAATTCATGTTCATATTTATAAGGTCATTGAATCAATAACCTGTCAAATTTGTACCTCTTCTCCAACATTAATATTGACATGGATGTTACATCAATTTCACGTTGACACTTGCAAGGCCCTTGTCAAATGTATATCTCTACACCATAAACCTTGACCAGGAGGATCAGTGAATTTTCATGTCCATACATCGGTGAACTTATGCATATGCAGTGACATGCAAATAAAAATTCCATAAAAAAGAAAGAACCAAATCAGCATGAGTGGGCCTCAAAACAGTGTCTGAGGCCAGTGTTGAATGATTTGATCGGCTCCCATTATCCTCATTTTCTCAAGATAGCAATTTTATAAAAGAAGTTGTATTTATTATAGATTGCCAGGCCTTAAAAACCAGCAAATTAATGAGAATCAATGTAGTTTACACAGATGTGTTAGTTACCAATGTAAGACCAAGGATTCATAATTTTTTATTTCTCCTTGAAATCAGTTTTGAACAAAGAATCACATTTGTGCATTGTTCCTTCTGACAAAGCCAGTTGCCAACAAAGATGGTTCTCTCCTGTTGAGACATGGAAGCAGCTTTCCCACTGCACTCAATGGGTTCTGCAATATAAAAACATTAACTCAATTATGATCACTTGAAAAAGTTTCCCACAATGAGATAATCTTTTATACACTGAATGGTTAAAGTAGAACTGACATCTAAGAACTGAGTAATCCAATTGCACTTATCAATTGTCAATAAACATACTTGATATGAGGCCAGAGATGCCCATTTCAGTAAGGGACTGCTTCCCCATGTGTTTTATGGACTTCCAAACAAAGTGAAGGGCAGCTCCATCATCCATGAGTCGATGCATGAGAGTTGAGACTGCTTTCTTCCCCTCCATACTTCAGATTGTAGATGCTAGAATAGCAATCTACAACAAAAGATAGTAAATGTGGCAGTTGCTTCAAGTCCAAATATCAGAGAGGCCTGACGGGAGAGTCAGGCATAAGGGAAAATCAAAATGATACAATGAGATGCAAATAAGTTTACAAATACATTCATCATCAGAACTCAAAATCAAGATGCACAGCTTCTTACACACAGTCTAGTCTCCTCCATCTTTTGTGATCCATGCTTTTAATACAGAGGGATCCATTTATGGATACCCCACTGATTTCTAATGGCCCTCCCCTATCTTTCTTCTCAACTGATGATAGAAAACTGTAAAAGCAATGACTCCATATCTTACTGAGGAATAGAGAAGGAAAGTGGTAACATGAATGGAGATTCACAGATCTATGGCATGCACACAATGCCTATTCCAGGATAAATTTTGGTGTTCACATCCCCAAAGTACAACTATTCACATATTGAATAACTAATTCTGTGGCACAGGTTTGATTGGCAATTCAAAGGAAAATAGCAAAAACTATAAGAATTGAGGAGAATGTGTAGTATGCACATGCTCAACTGCCCTCAAAAGTATATGCCATTCAAATGTGAAAGCAATAGAAACCACAAGATATCAACATACTGAAGTTACACAATTGAATGTTGTAAGCAAACCACACTGGCTATGTCGAACAAAGTGCAACAGGAAAGCATTAAAAGATTTAATCATTGCATTGAGAGGGATGGTTGGGGCTTTCAACTAATGTGTTGCTGTTTTCTCTATGATTTTCTCCTATTAATTTAGGGTTGTATCTATAAATGGATCACCCTATATGTAAAGAATGGCTTGTACTATGTTGAGAATGGAGAGGGAATCTAGTTTCCAATTACAGGAGTTTGTAGTTGAAAAAAGCATACTTCAAAAGGAAGGAAACAGGAATTTCAGCCTGTCAGTAGCTGCAATTAAGTCTTGCTCAGCCAAGTTTTGAGATGCCTTAAGCACCATCAAAGTAGCAACAAGCACAAAAAGACATTCAAGAAATTACTCAGATTCTTCCTGATACTCGTCTGCTTTGATGCTGACTTCTCCACTGTTGGAAAACTCCATTTTGTCTGGTCACCTCAGGGAATTGCAATAAGATCTTGCTTTTGTCAATTTGTGGGGATATCAACAAGTTTGGTCAACTATGACCCAAAGTTGAGGGATGATGTCACAAGTATCCTTATCAGGGAAAATTACAGCATGATAAAGCATTTGTTTTGTTTTCATCTTCACATCTCGAAACTACTAATGCAAGACGTATCACAGTAAATCAGGAAGAAAAGACTAACCTAATGTGATGAATTATACTAATATGTAACATACTAAATAAACCTTTGTACTCTAAAGTCATACGTCTGGTGTGACATTGCACACTAAAACTACCACCCCCCCTGATGCAGCTGACACATCATACAATTTAGAGCCTTTTGAAAGTAGCAGTGGCAGCCATCTGTAACCAGTTTTTTATGATAAATTTTCTTGGAATTTTCCCTATATTGCTACAAGTAAATTCATATTTAGTGCTGGAGTGGAAAGGGTTAAAAGAATTGAATGAATTAATCATAAGTGCCTTGACTACGGTGACCACTGGTGGATTTTGGCTATTGCCAGTCAAATTCCTAAGTGTGAGAGCGCCACTTCATGGCAATAACTATGTACGAGTCCTTCCCAGGTTAATGCATGGGAGCATTAGAAGGTGCAGGTATACATAGCCCACATGTGATCGTGTAATGTGTATCCCCTATATACAATACATACTGCAACTACTCTCAGAATTGTATAAGTACCCAATGCTCTACACAAGACATCTGCAACATCAACTTAGGCATGAAGTTGGTCAAAACTGATTGATGATGAAGATTAATTGCAATGAATTACCAATGAATTTTTATCATTGATTTGAACCTTAAGGCCTAAAGAATGATGGAACTAAACCACCAAAGGGGTAAGGATGCTGTGTCAAGTGTCCTAGGTGCAAGTCTCACTGACTAGGCCAACTTCAGGAGATTCAAGCAGAGCAGGACAAAACACCCATATGGCCTAGTTTCAACAATGCACTAAATATGATGATTTAGTGGAATAATCCAAATAGAACCCACATGACCAGAGGGCAGGCATATGCACTTGATAGTGATGTCATGCACTGACCATGTTTCCAAGTATAAGGACAAGTGACTGACTTTAAGGATTCAGATGATCTGCCTGGGTATGAGGAACAATCACCTTTGCATTGAAAATAAAAGCCTTGAATCCTATTATTTCTCTTCTCTATCCCTGAAATTGTTTAGTTCCAAAAAATTTGGATTTCTCTTTTACCCATGAGTTTTCCTCTCTTCAACAATGGGGGATCAGAATAACTGTGACTAACATACTTAGCCAGTTAGGTGGGACTCAACACTGAACTCACAAAGGTCATTCTGAAGCCACCTATAAATGGCTTGGGAATGATTTCAAAAGCATGACAAATTTAATAAAGCCTTCATAGAGTTTCACTCCTGCTACACCCTATCCTCAGGTGGCAAGGGTTATGACTAGGCTCATGATACTAATGGTCCTGACATTGCCCCGATTCCAGTCACTACCTTAAAAAAAAGATTCCTCTTCCATTTTTCCCTTACTCTATATTCCCAATGTATTCTGATTGAAAGGGAGCCTCATGAAACCTCTAACATTAGGCACATTAGGCTCATTAGCCTGAATGTAATTGACAAATTTTAATCTGATGGAAAATTCAGCAAGCATCTGAAGCCAAACAACTAAAGATGGGTTTTGACAGGTGAAGATACTGAAAGATTCAGGGAAAGATACAGAAGCTAAAGAAAATTTTGTGGAATTAAGACCTAACATGGTCTAGCCAACCACTAACAAGTACTTCACATTTTAAATTTGTTTATTTATTTCAAATTTCACTTCTTGGTATAAAAAGTCTTCTTTGACTCTGGGGTCTAGAAACGCTCATTCAAACCTCAATATCTTACTGACAGTAATCTTATCCGAAACGGTCGGACGTGTTGAAATCAGATCAGGGCTAAGCGTTAAGCTTGGCATGCCATTTATTACAATCCAAAGGATCCTTGGCTACCTTTGCGCTAACGCCAAATTATTCCAACAGAAAGGAACTGGAGCTTGGAGCGGCTTGAGCTACATCCTAAAGTAACGTAGCCGTAACATGAGCTTTAGGCCAAGGTTATTGCGAGAAACATTGCCAGACCGAGAACTAGGCCTACAGAGGCCAATATTGTTAAATGGAATTACGAATGGAAACTTCTTATTAAGTTACTTTCATATCTTAGGAACAGCTCACAAGTATCTTACCACTGAGCGAGTTCTGCGTCGTCTGAAAGCAAGGCCTCCAAACCGGATATACCGCCTTGCAGGAAGAGCACTTTCGAGTTCAGAGTACCATGGCCTCTTGTAACCACGTTCGACTGTTATCTGCAGTTCATAATGCGCGTTATGAGCCTTCCGTGAGCATTTTACTATTTCAGCTTCACCTGATGAAAATTACACGAATAAGAGTTTGTAATAGAATTATTCATTCACAGTGACCTCATAATTTGTCTCGCAAAATCTACTAATACACCAGTGGATGCGATGTCAATTTTATGGTGATAATTACTAGGTCTTTTTTTAATCAATAACTTGTCAAAGTGTGCCTCCTCATGAGCGTCAATATATACATAACATGTAACGTCAAGTTTTCTACGAAAAGAGTGACGTCAATAGTCATGTCAAACTTTTCAAAATGCATGAACTTCTCATATTGACGTATTATTAACATGAAAGAGTCGGGTATGCATTTCTCCATTGCCGAATTTCTGCGCCTTTTCTCACAGATGATTGGCAGTCCTTTCAACCGCATCCACTCTAACCACAGCCACTAAGCTTGGTCAACATCTCCTGCCTTTGCCTTCCCGTTGCCGCTTCCTACTCTTGTACTCGACCTCCAATGCTTCCTTATCGTTGATGATCTTGAAGACTTGCGGCTGAGTAATGCAAACTACCAAGCCAGTTTGCGTCTTATTATCGTCTTCAAGGGCATTCTGAACTGCAATCTTATCAGCTATGTCTTTTCTACTTCCCATGGTCAACCCGGAATGAGCAGATGTTAGGTAACACCTCAATTTATTGTCCAGGTGAGCTTGCTTACACTTTCACCTGAAAAGGCAAGGCCTCGTCTCCACATCAGCCTATATTTACACCGCAATTTCAGAGAAAGGCGAATTCAATTCGGTTTCAGGTTCGTGGCGTCTATACAATAACTTCAGCTGAAGTGGTGGCCATATTGCATGAAGCAAATCCAAGCAATTAAGAGGATTTTCGAAAATAAACTTGCATCATGAGTAAAATCGATGAAACAGTTACAATGATGCGCAATCAAGGATTGTGGCATCCAAAAGTACAAAATAAGCGACCAGAAAGGTGGACATATAACGGAGGAAAGTTTCAAAGCAAGAAGTGACAAACCAGAAAGCGAGTAAAAAAAAAATCTGCGAATAGAATAAGAGGAGAAAGATAGCTAGAGCGAACCAACAAACTGCATTACGAATACGCACCACAAAAAAAGAAGCCACCGCTTCAGAGAAAGTTGTGCTGGTGACACTCCGAACTTCAATTCCGTATACCGAATTCAATACGTAATGGATTAGATTGGTTGGGGTTAGGTGTCACTCTGCTGCCAATTAGCGAGAAATTCCATTCAAAGAAGAATGATGACTTAATCGAACCAATTCACAGCATTGCAAGGCAGTGCCACCTGCAAGTGGCCACCATTGCTGTTACAGTTTTTCTATCGATACCAATTCACAGCATTGTAAGGAAGTGCCACCTGCATGTGCCCATATTCGATGCTAGAATATTTCTATCGACACCACGACCTCGAAACAAAGTCCATCCAGCGAAAGAATCGATTCAAGGAAGAATGAAACCCGAATCGAACAAATTCACAGCATTGAGAGGCAGGTCCAACCTCAGGTGGCCACCTCATCAGCAAAAGTTTTTCCATTAAAGCAACAAACTCCAGACCAAGTCCATCCAGCGGCAGAATCGATTCAAAGCAGAATGATGCCCGAATCGTACGAATTCACAGCATTGCAAGACAGTGCCACTTGCAGCTGTCCACCTAATCAGGAAGAGTTTTTTCATTAAAGCAACAAACTCCAGACCAAGTCCATCGAGCGAGAGAATCGATTCAAAGCAGAATGATGCCCAAATAGTACTAATTCATAGCATTGCAAGTCAATGCCACCTGCAGGTGGCCAACATTCCTGGAAGAATTTATCTAACGACACCACGAACGCGATACCAAGTCCATCCAGCGGCAGAATCGATTCAAAGCAGAATCATACCCGAATCGTACGACTTCACAGCAGTGCAAGGCAGTCCCACCTGCAGGTGTCGACCTCATGAGCAAAAGTTTTTCCATTAAAGCAACAACCTCCAGACCAAGTCCATCGAGCGAGAGAATCGATTCAAAGCAGGATGATTCCCGAATCGTACGACTTCACAACATTGCAAGGCAGTGCCACCTGCAGGTGTCGACCTCATCAGCAAGATTCTTTGTATTTCAAGGGAGTGCCACCTGCAGGAGGCCACCTTCTCTGCAAGAATTTTCCTATCGACAGCACGACCTCGAGACCAAGTCGATCCAGCGAGAGAATCGATTCAAAGGAAACTGATACCCGAATCGTACTAATTCACAGCATTGCAAGGCAGTGCCACCTGCAGGTGGCCACCGTCGCAGCTAGGATTTTTCTATCGACACCACAAACTCCAGACCAAGTCCATCTCGCGAGAGAATAGATTCAAAGAAGAATCATACCCGAATCGTACGAATTCACAGCAATGCAAGACAGTCCCACCTGCAGGCGGCCACCATTGCTGCTCGAATTTATGTATCGACACCATAAACTCCAGGTCAAGTCCATCCAGCAAAAAAAACGATTCAAAGCAGAATGATGCCCTAATCGAACCAATTGCAAGGTAGTGCCACCTGCAGGTGTCGACCTCATCAGCAAGAATTTTCCTATCAACAGCACGACCTCGAGACCAAGTCCATCCAGCGAGAGAATCGAATCAAAGCAGAATGATGCCCTAATCGAACCAATTCATTCCATTGCAAGGCAATGCCACCTCCAGGTGGCCACCATTGCTGGTACAGTTTTTCTACCGACACCACAAACTCGACACCAAGTCCATCCAGCAAGAGAATCGATTCCAAGCAAATTGATACCCGAATCGTACTAGTTCATAGCATTGCAAGTTAGTGCCACCTGCAGGTGTCCACCTAATCAGGAAGAGTTTTTCTATCGACACCACGAACGCGAGACCAAGTCAATCCAGCGAGAGAATCAATTCAAAGCAGAAAGATGCCCTCATCGACCTAATTCTTAGTATTTCAAGGCAGTGACACCTGCAGGAGGCCACCTCATCGGCAAGAGTTTTTCAATCGACACCACAAACTCGAGACCATGTCCATGCAGCGAGAGAATAGATTCAAAGCAAAATGATACCCTAATCGAACCAATTTATCGCATTTCAAGGCAGTGCCACCTGCAGGTGTCCACTTCATCTGGAAAAGTTTTTCCATTAAAGCAACGAACTCCATACCAAGTCCATCCAGCGAGAGAATCGATTCAAAGCAGAAAGATGCCCTAATCGACCTAATTCTTAGTATTTCAAGGCAGTGACACCTGCAGGAGGCCACCTCATCGGCAAGAGTTTTTCAATCGACACCACAAACTCGAGACCAATTCCATCTCGCGAGAGAATAGATTCAAAGCAGAATCATAACCGAATCGTACGACTTCACAGCATTGCAAGGCAGTGCCACCTGCAGGCGGCCACCATTGCTGCTCGAATTTATGTATCGACACCATAAACTCCAGACCAAGTCCATCCAGCGAGAGAATCGATTCAAAGCAGAATGATGCCCAAATCGAATTAATTCTTAGTATTTCAAGGCAGTGCCACCTGCAGGAGGCTACCTTCTCTGCAAGAATTTTCCTATTGACAGCACGACCTCGAGACCAAGTCCATCCAGCAAGAGAATCGATTCAAAGCAGAATGATGCCCTAATCGAACCAATTCACAACTTTGCGAGGCAGTGCCACCTGCAGGTGTCCACCTCATCGGCAAGAGTTTTTCAATCGACACCACAAACTCGAGACCATGTCCATGCAGCGAGAGAATAGATTCAAAGCAAAATGATACCCTAATCGAACCAATTTATCGCATTTCAAGGCAGTGCCACCTGCAGGTGTCCACCTCATTAGCAAGAGATTTTCCATTAAAACAACGAACTCGAGACCAAGTACATCCAGCGAGAGAATCGATTCAAAGAAGAATGATGCCCTAATCGACCTAATTCTTAGTATTTCAAGGCAGTGCCACCTGCAGGTGTTGACCTCATCATGAAGAGTTTTTCTATCGACACCACAAACTCCAGACCAAGTCCATCTCGCGAGAGAATAGATTCAAAGCAAAATCATACCCGAATCGTACTAATTCATAGCATTGCAAGTTAGAGCCACCTGCAGGTGTACACCTATTCAGGAAGAGTTTTTTCTATAGAAACCACGAACGCGAGACCAAGTCCATCCAGCGAGAGAATCAATTCAAAGCAGAAACATGCCCTAATGGACCTAATTCTTAGTATTTCAAGGCAGTGCCACCTACAGTTGTCCACCTCATCAGCAACAGTTTTTCCATTAAAACAACGAACTCGAGACCAAGTCCATCCAGCGAGAGAATCGATTCAAAGCAAATTGATGCCCTCATCGAACCAATTCACAGCATTGCAAGGCAGTGCCACCTACAGGTGTCGACTTCATCAGGAAGAGTTTTTCCATTAAAGCAACGAACTCCAGACCAAGTCCATCTCGCGAGAGAATCGATTCATAGCAGAATGATACCCGAATCGTACGAAATGACAACATTGCAAGGCAGTGCCCACAGCAGGTGGCCATCATAGTTGCTGGAATTTATGTATCGACACCATGAACTCGAGACCAAGTCCATACAGCGAAAGAATCGATACAAAGCAGAATAATGCCCTAATCGAACCAATTCACAGCATTGCAAGGTAGTCCCACCTGCAGGTGGCCACCATTGCTGCTAGAATTTATGTATCGACACCAAGAATTCGAGACCAAGTCCATCTAGAGGGAGAAGCGATTCAAAGCAGAATGATGCCCTAATCGAACAAATTCACAACATTGCAAGGCAGTGCCACCTGCAGGTGGCCACCATTGCTGATACAGCTTTTCTAACGATACCAAGAACTCCAGACCAAGTCCATCGAGCGAGAGAATCGATACAAAGGAGAATGATGCCCTAATCGATCTAATTCTTAGTATTACAAGGAAGTGCCACCTGCAGGAGGCCACCTTCTCTGCAAGAATTTTCCTATCGACAGCACGACCTCGAGACCAAGTCCATTCAGCGAGAGAATCGATTCAAAGCAAAATGATACCCGAATCGTACTAATTCACAGCATTGGAAGTTAGTGCCACCTGCAGGTGTCCACCTCATCAGGAAGAGTTTTTCCATTAAA